ATTTGATATAATATGTTAGCAGTTATTTCACTTGGCAGATCCTCATACGAACTCTAGTTTCATCTAAACTTTGCTTACTAGTCAAGGACGATCCTCGATGAAGCTCAAACCTTATTAATCATCAGGAAGTCACTAATTTCCTCAGAAGACACAATTACTTTTTGGTGTGTTTGCCTGATTGTCACCTAAATATAATCACCAACAGATAGTTAAAGTTAGATTCATTTTTCTTGTTATATTATTGAGGAACCATACTCTAAGTTCCTATAGGACCAAGTTGTAATTTTGAGGCCTTTATAAAAAGGTTTCTTTGTTGAGACAATTTGGGGAAGGCGGGGAAGGAATTGTGTGAGACATGCATAAGCCCAAAAATTAGTTGAACCCTTGAACTTTAGTAACATGAAAGATCTAGCAAAGTAAAGCTCTCCGGGTCTCTTCAAAGTACAAATTGCCATAGTGATAAGCATATTTCAAGAATGATTCCTGATATAGGCATAAGAAAACATTACTAACATACCCTTTCAGGATAACTGAATCTTTTTCCCAAATCATATAGCAACCACCATAATACAGCCTAAAGCCTACATCTTTCCTTTTGTTCTTCTGATAAAACATAACACAGCCTTATGTCACAAAGCAAAGTCGTCTCAAGCTCGGACAAAGTTGCAACAATGCTGAGCTGACAGTAAACATAAAAACAATCTAATTTTAAAGAATTAAGACATAACAGAACTATTTTGGATCGTACAGTCAACCCAACTATTTTGGAATTCAGATGTTGTTTATCCATTATACTGAAATAGGCATAACATAACACAAGACACCTTTTTAAAAGTGCTGATTTTTTTCTCCAAATCATACAACAAACACCATATTTATTATGCAATCATCTGTTTTCAGCAAGCCTAAAGTACAAAACTTTAAAAGAAAATATGTTGTGTAACTCTGCGTATTTAGATCCTGAATACATGCAATCGGGTATTGCTAGTCATAAAACTGACGTCTACAGCTTCGGTGTTGTTCTCTTTCAGCTATTAACGGGAAAGAAAATGAGTATACTTGATGGTAAGGTGATAGATTTTACAAAGTTTCCCCACGTCCAAACCAATATTGAAGAGGGTAGTGTAATGGATATAGAGGATCCTACCATTTTGGAAGAGCATGAAATAGAGATTCGTCAACTACTGAAACACTACTTGGATCTTGTTAGGAAATGCACCGGTTAAAAGGGAGAAGAGAAACCATACATGATTCATGTTGCAAAGGAATTACGCCAAATTAAGAAATGTTACTGTGGCCTCACTCTTGGTCAGAATTAGCTATACAATGGCAAGGGATTGCAAAAAGGGCTATGGGATGGACTGCAGAGACAATGTAAGAGGAAAGAATGCAGCAGCTACTATTTATAGGATTGCCTTGGCTGCCACTGTCTACTACATATGGCAAGAAAAAATATTGTGGTATTTCAAAACAAAAGGAGACAAGCAGATGCAATAATCAGAGTGATCATTCAAGAGATATTTGTAAGAGGCAGCGTGAACAAGATACTGGAGAGGAGATTACACAGTTTGAAGTATTACCCTTCTTGGAATGTTGCTGAATGTATTCCTGGTACAATGAGTTTATGTAGTGCACATCTAGGGTTGTCCAGAGTGCTATTTTTTTTTTCTTTTCCTTGAGCTGTAACCTCCTGCTTTGGTAATAAAATTAATTTCTCTATGAAACAAAAAAAATATTCAGGACAAAGGTTCCTGGATATTCCTGGAGGACGGACTCTAACTTTAGCTCAAGCAAAAGTTTCTATACGAGGACGAGGAAAACAGATAAATTCTAGAGCTTAAACATATTGATAGGTTTGCATAGTAAAGCTGAAGAATTTAAAATGAGTATGTCTAGGAAGCCATAACTTTAATCCCTGCCTTTATGCAACTATAGTTGTGACTACTAACTAAACCACTTGCAAAACACACTATTATGCAATTCAAAATTTAAGACAAAAATCAAAACAGAAGCGGGGAGAAGTTCTCTTGATTCTTAGGAGTTAGGAGAAACCAATTTGTCATCACAAGCACATAATCTCAAGTAAGTTGGCGCAACAGCAATTTGCCATAGTAGCCACGCAAATAAGAATAAACTATTGTCATTGGAGAAAGCAAAAGTATAGAAGTCACAGTGACTCTATCAAAAGTAAAATATGAGCACATTATAGACAAGCTTTAGGATCTATACAAAAATTACAAAGCACAATTGCCACCAATCGAAGGGAGACTTTGCATGTTGTAACGCTAGTCTGCTACTGCTGCAAATACTGCTAAGGTTTTTGAATAAATGTACCCCCAAAAAAGAAAGGAGAAGAAGCTTTTACAATAAACATACATAGATGAGTAAACTTTTGGCACATACACTGAAATGAACAAAAAGGATATTGTTTTATTTCACTGGAGACGAGCCAATTTTGTCTCTGGAATGATAACAAGCAAACTTTTGAGAAATTGCCTCGTTTATAGCTGGAGACAAGTCAATACTTGAATGATGTAACTTACTATAGCATGTTCATCCAGATGAGGATAAAGTTTAAAAAGAGGAGGGTATGCTTATAGGTCCACGAAATTTGCTTTAATTGAGAACCAAAAAGAGGAAAGTCCATATGACATAAGGTGAAAAAGAAAACTACCTAAGAGAGGACACCAGGAACGAGCAATTTAGAGTTTTCAATTTGTGAGGTGCAACCGAGTGAATAAGTGTAGGACAAGAGACACAAAATTTTCAACTTCGAACCTGGGATAAGCAGAAAAATCACCTTACGGAATCAACGAACAAACAATGTGCATCATATAGGTCCATCGATCATTGCTAGGCAAGCTATGTAAGTTCATATCTAAGGGGATAAAATTACATATCATACAAACTCCTGAATCAAAATCTTCATGCTGTCATGTCTCCTAGAACAAAATGATCTTGCTATTTTCTAGTAATTGAATGTAGAAGATTCAAGCATTATATTTGGAACATGTGTTCGTAGAAAGGAGAGACGGTTGGAATCTCCCCTATAGAGACAGGAACAGCCTACGAGCTTTACCTGTTACCACACACATCCGGTTAAGGGCTTAAGGCTACCCATTTCGATGGATCTTACCCCAATTTTTATTAATAAAAGAATATATTTGGAACATAGCAAACTATCTCGATGATTGTTGTTGCTCATCCTTAATAAAATCCACTAATCATATCCTAGTCAATTTCCCAACTCCTTTCAAACCATCTCAAGTAATACTGCTCTACTCTAAAAATCCAATGCCAACAGAACTTGACTTTTATTTGATATAATAAGTCAGCAGTTATTTTACTTGGCAGATCCTCATACGAACTCTAGTTTCATCTAAACTTTGCTTACTAGTCAAGGACGATCCTCGATGAAGCTCAAACCTTATTAATCATCAGAAAGTCACTAATTTCCTCAGAAGACACAATTACTTTTTGGTGTGTTTGCCTTATTGTCACCTAAATATAATCACCAACAGATAGTTAAAGTTAGATTCATTTTTCTTGTTATATTATTGAGGAACCATACTCTAAGTTCCTATAGGATCAAGTTATAATTTTGAGGCCTTTATAAAAAGGTTTCTTTGTTGAGACAATTTGGGGAAGGCGGGGAAGGAATTGTGTGAGACATGCATAAGCCCAAAATTAGTTGAACCCTTGAACTTTAGTAACATGAAAGATCTAGCAAAGTAAAGCTCTCCGGGTCTCTTCAAAGTACAAATTGCCATAGTGATAAGAATATTTCAAGTATGATTCCTGATATAGGCATACAAAAACATTACTAACATACCCTTTCAGGATAACTGAATCTTTTTCCCAAATCATACAGCAACCACCATAACACAGCCTAGAGCCTACATCTTTCCTTTTGTTCTTCTGATAAAACATAACACAGCCTATGTCAAAAAGCAAAGCCGTCTCAAGCTCGGACAAAGTTGCAACAATGCTGAGCTGACAGTAAACATAAAAACAATCTAATTTTAAAGAATTAAGACATAACATAACTATTTTGGATCATACAGTCAACCCAACTATTTTGGAATTCAGATGTTATTTATCCATTATACTGAAATAGGCATAACATAACACAAGACACCTTTTTAAAGGTGGTGATTTTTTTATCCAAATCATACAACAAATACCATATTTATTATGCAATCATCTATTTTCAGCAAGTCTAAAGTACAAAACTTTAAAAGAAAATATGTTGTGTAATTCTGGGTATTTAGATCCTGAATACATGCAATCGGGTATTGCTAGTCAAAAAACTGACGTCTACAACTTCGGTGTTGTCACACCTCCTTTTTTCACTACACCCCCGAAAGAGGGCATAATAAAGGGTGTTTTTTCCAATTAAAGGACAATCGAAACAGGATTATTTATTAAAAGATTCAGAGTCTCCACTTGGGAGATTTATGGTGTCCCAAGTCACTGGTTTAAAATCCCGTATCGAGGAAAAGAATGACTCTGTTTAACAGTCTGCGAACTAGAAATCCGGGTAAGGAATTTTGTTAACCCGGGAGAAGGTGTTAGGCATTCCCGAGTTTCGTGGTTCTAGCACGGTCGCTCAACTGTTATTATTGGCATAATTATCTGATTTAAAAAACATTTTGAACCTATGTGCATTTTTATTCCTTTTTAAACCACTTTTAATTATTTAAGGAATTATTTCAAGGTTATTTCAAACACGTCGCAAATCACGCTACATGAAATGCACCCGTGATTCACGATACGTTATATTTAACCTCGTTGGGAATTAGAACCGGGCCACATGAAATGTACTCCCGAATTTTAGTAATTACAACTCACAACAAAGTCGCGGAAAATTATCACACACGCAACCCTCAAAGACGATTTTCATGTGGACTCAACGACTAGAATAAATAAATTATGAACTCAATGACTGACTTACACCTCTATCGCTCCACTTGACTGTTATCAAAGATTCCTCCCCGATGTAAAATAAAAATTTTCCATTCTAAACGACGTACAATTCTTATACATATGTAAATACACACACATGCACAGCCTTTTATGCCTTGGCCAAAAAGGACAAAAACCAAAGCCCAAACCTGTTGGTGATTAATTGCTAACGGATTGGACTATTCCAATTCCTATATCCTAGCAACATTTGAAATAGGTTAAACACATTACTTTATGCCGAGTCCTTAGTCAGCTATAACAGGAATACAATAACTGAACAAACAAGAAGCAACCAAATAGAGGTGAACTAAAGTGTGACAGGGCCACGACTTCTGCGAGCTCAAATTGCCAGCCTTCCCAATTTATTGACATGCTTTCAAACCTTCTCTTTAATATATACACTCCATTTCAGGCTGCTACAGCTCTTCAGGACTCAACAAGAAACCAGAAAAAACACCTTAAACTTACCTATTTCATGTGTAATCCTAAGGAAAAAATAAAATACTCAAGGGAGTTGCTTATGAATGCAGCAGGTGTACAATTCTTAAGACGAGAAGATCAAAGAGCACTTCAACGCGAAATAAATTGGGACGAGCATCAAACAGAAACTAGCAAAGACAAACCAATTGAGGCATTCAATAAACCATAGGCGAATTGATCAGTTCCTGCAAACTAATGTATAATCTGAACGCCTCATCTTTCCCAATGCTCATGCTCAAACATTTCAACCAATGAGCAAATCACCAAGTGACAGAAGCAGAATTACCCAGCTTAGAAATAATTTCACCATGAGTTTGTACATTATTTTGGAGTCACAGTGTCATGGCTATTGGTATAACATGATTTTAACAGATTATTTGCTATTTGCAAAAGCAAAACTATTCAGCTAGAGTTTTTTTTTTAAAAAAAATCTCTGGACATATCAAGTTAGTCATGGATATTCCAGAACTTCTCATCTTAACACAGGCACACCTTATCTATTGCTCTTTGCTAACTGAAAACTAATGAAGATCCAGTGGTATAAAGGTACAACTGAAGCTACCAAGCCAGGGCATCAAATTCCAAGTCTTAGAGACCATTTCGGGATCCTAATTCACAAAACTTAACCTACAGGCAACGAGAATCAGAGAGATCTAACATGGATCATGTTCGGACAGTGGTGTTGAGCTTTAAACCGAAGAGCACAAGACATAGATAGAGCTAATATCATTTCAAATCATGAAGACCTCACTTAATCTAACAATATATCATCACACAATTGCGCTGGATAAAACAATCAAGCGTCATAGAGTGAAAAATAGAAACATACAAGTTTTTCACATAGCAAAGTCACTCCGGATTTTTGAATTTTACGCTAGTGACAAAGAATCATCAGAATGCCAACTCTAATATAAAAGATATGAGAACGAGATGAACCTGTTAAAATTTCCAGTTGATCTTTCAGCAAATTACAACAATCAAAATAAAATGAATCGGATGAATCCACAACAAAGAACTCAACCAAGACCTCAAACCAGAAACGGAAAACATCAGCTTTCGAACTCGAACAACAACTTCAACAGCGACGAGCTCGTTTAAATCAACTGCTTTAAACAAGAACCAGAGAAGAAAAACGGAATCCCTTTTTTGAAATTTTCTAATTTCTGAAGCAAACTATGAACAAACGAAAAACTCAAAAAAAATTGCATTTTTTAATAGAGAAGAAAACGGAATAACAAATCCAAAAAAAAAACCTCAGTCTTTATCTCTGTTATCATTTAAGAAATCGAAGAGCGATAAAGAAGATCTATCTCTCAAATCCTTTACCAAGTATGAAACCTCTGAATAGTCCCCAAGACATTCTCTCCAAAACCAAAAAAAATCCCCCCACCCTTACCCGAAAAGGGTCCCTTATATATCCAAACTCTGGATTCTTTCTTCCTCTTAAAGAAAGCGGATAAGGCTCTCTTGAAAATGAGCACGTGGTGAATGTGAGGCTCAGATTGAATGAGATTGATCCGACGCCTCTCACTCATCCAACACCCTTCTTCTAGAGCCTTCTAATCCACGTGAGATAGCTTGAAAACGGGCGAGTGAGGGAGAGAATCTTGTTGTTGTCAGAGCCCGTTACTCCTATGTGGCAAGAGGAGGGAGGGGGAAGGCGCGTGGGGTGAGTTAGGGTGAATTTGTGCGATTTTGGTGAAGGGGAAGATGAGCAGTAACCTGTGCAGCTTTGGGGTCTTTGAGACTTAGGGTTTTTTGTGTTGTAATAGGAGCGGGTCGGGTCAGCGTGCGGGTTTGGGCGTGGGTCTAGGTGATTTGGGCTGAATGGGTGTAGTTGGGCTGGAGTGAGGGAATTCACATTGGGCTTGGACAAATTAAAACAAAACAGCCCAACTTTCTAACTTTTCAATTCCTTTTTCCTTTTTTCAAAATAATTCTTATCTTCTTTTTTTTCAAAATTAAATAAAATTCTAAATTAAATCCTAGAACCTAATTAACCTGAAAACACTAATTAAACCTAAATAAAATTATTACAATTAATTTAAAACAAATTAGAAGAAGACTACTTAAAATCAAAGCTAAAATTAAAGAGTGCAAATTAAGCTATTTTTTATTTTTTATTTTCAACTTTTATAAAATGACTAATTTGCTAATTAACCTTAAAAATTTCAAATTAAATTCTAAATACAAATGCCCGTATATTTTTGTGTCTTTCCATTAATTAAAATAAAATAAACATGCGCACACAAATTCAAATAATTAACAGAAAATGCCACGAAAATCCACAAAATTGCAAACACTAAAAGAAATTATTTTGTTTTGAATTTATGGAAGTAATTCATATAGGGTAAAAATCACGTGCTCACAGCTGCCCCTCTTTGCTCGGAAACACGAAGTGTTTTCGTGCAAAGATAAAATGAGCGTATACAAGCGATTTTTGCCCGTTTGAATACTCCGTGTGAAGCATTTTTGAAAGATTTGACCGCACCCTGCTTCCGAGGTTGCATACATATCCTTGGCTATAAAGGAATCAAGTCAGTGTAGTTCGAAAAGTTTTGGTAGCTGGGACTACCATGAAGCTGTGATTTGATTATTGTTGTTGTTGTTGTTGCTACTGCTTACTGAACCCCCTTATTACACCATATCAAAAATAAAAAGAAGCTAGACTAGGCTATGATTTATGCACTACAAAAATCCTATCCATATCTTCAAACTTGCTCTTGTGGTTCTTGTTGCCTTGTCGACTTGTATTCTCCCGGTGAAGTCTCTTTGTTGCCACTTTGAATTGTAGTCTGAGATGTTTTCCCTTTCTTCAGGTGGATGCCTGACTGCCAAAACTTGAATGTATTCCCTTATTTTCCAGGCGGGCTCTTGACTGCTGAAACTTGAAATGTATTCCCTTGTTCTCCAGGCGGGCTCCTGGTTGCTGAAACTTGAATGTATTCTCTTGTTCTCCAGGCGGGCTCCTGACTTCAACAAAAATAGACAAGGCAAAGAAAATTTCCTACCCCAGTTTGGTAGCCGGGCACATATGTGATTGTGAACTAAATCCTGTTACCAAATTTCAATAAAAACTTGAAGGCTAAACCTGAATTGTACTCCCTTGTTCTCCAGGCGGGCTCTTGACTGCTAAACTTGAATGTATTCCCTTGTTCTCCAGGCGGGCTCCTGACTGCTGACTTGAAATGTATTCCCTTGTTCTCCAGGCGGGCTCCTGACTGCTGACTTGAAATGTATTCCCTTGTTCTCCAGGCGGGCTCCTGACTGCTGACTTGAAATGTATTCCCTTGTTCTCCAGGCGGGCTCCTGACTGCTGACTTGAAATGTATTCCCTTGTTCTCCAGGCGGGCTCCTGACTGCTGACTTGAAATGTATTCCCTTGTTCTCCAGGCGGGCTCCTGACTGCTGACTTGAAATGTATTCTCTTGTTCTCCATGCGGGCTCCTGACTGCTGCATTTGAAATGTATTCCTTTGTTGTCCAGGCGGGCTCCTGACTGTTGAAACTTGAATGTTTTCCCTTTTTCTCCAGAAGGGCTCCTGACTTCAACAAAAATAGACAAAACAAAGAAATTTTTTTGCCCCAGTTTGGTGGCTGGGCACATATGTGATTGTAAACTAAATCATGTTACCAAATATCAG